TTATATTTTCTTAACCCTCCTGTCAAATTGACCCCAAGTCATCTCTGATGACAAATACGATAAATAATTTTATTTTATTTTACTGTTACATAAGGTCAAATTTAGTCTTTTTCTTATTAAGCAAATTATTACTTCTAAATACAATATAATAAAGTGTTTACAAACACAGCACACACATTTGTACCAGTGTGATTAATAAAGCATCACTTTCATAGACATAATAAAGTGTTTACAAACACAGCACACACATTTGTACCAGTGTGATTAATAAAGCATCACTTTCATAGACATAATAAAGTGTTTACAAACACAGCACACACATTTGTACCAGTGTGATTAATAAAGCATCACTTTCATAGACATAATAAAGTGTTTACAAACACAGCACACACATTTGTACCAGTGTGATTAATAAAGCATCACTTTCATAGACATAATAAAGTGTTTACAAACACAGCACACACATTTGTACCAGTGTGATTAATAAAGCATCACTTTCATAGACAATAAATGTAAATGTATTCATATAAAATAGCCAGCAAGGGAATATATCAGATATGTTTTGAGTTATTTTCATATTATTTTCCCATGCCTCCAGAAGCTAGACTGCATAGGTTAAGCTTATGGGTCTGTCACGTGATGAACGAACGACTCAAACCCGAAGACTCGAGAGATGAATTAATCAATTCTCTTTCCGCCTCAGACTGCATAGGTTAAGCTTATGGGTCTGTCACGTGATGAATGAACGACTCTAAAATCCTGAAGACTTGAGATATGAACTAATTAATTCTCTTTCCGGCTCAGACTGCATTGGTTAAGCTTATGGATCTGTCACGTGATGAATGAACGACTCTAAAATCCTGAAGACTTGAGATATGAACTAATTAATTCTCTTTCCGGCTCAGACTGCATTGGTTAAGCTTATGGATCTGTCACGTGATGAATGAACGACTCTAAAATCCTGAAGACTTGAGATATGAACTAATTAATTCTCTTTCCGGCTCAGACTGCATTGGTTAAGCTTATGGATCTGTCACGTGATGAATGAACGACTCTAAAATCCTGAAGACTTGAGATATGAACTAATTAATTCTCTTTCCGGCTCAGACTGCATTGGTTAAGCTTATGGGGCTGTCAATGATGAACGAACGACTCTAAAAACCTGAAGACTAGAAACAGGTGAATTACTTGACTAATTCCAGTACAGAACCTATAGAATATTGCGCATGCGCGACTGAACGAATCACTCCCCGAGACGTCTCGTTCTTCCCGAGTCACATTAAAGATTAGATTCAAAATGAATGAATCGTTCAAGAACGACCCATCACTAGTCCAGGGACAGTTGACGGAATTGTCACTGACTGTGCATTATCACGAAAGTGATATTCAGTATTTTTGCATGTGTTTTTAAGTCTTGTCCAGTACTTGAAAGCCGACGGGTGTCTTTGCTCACTGCTCACACACCGAAAGCATGCTCACAGAATAATGCGCCTCTCAGTCAGTGTGCGAATGCCGAGTTCTTTCACTTAAGTTCTCTTAAATTCTGTTATTGCTACACACTTACACAAACAGTTATGTCAAAATGCCCGTCTTGGAGACTCTTCATGTAAATGCAGTCGGTTTTGTCTTAAGTGAACTTGAACAGTTGGCAGAAATACAGATGTGTCAAAATATTTGATATATGCGTCAGATCTGAAAGCAACAGCGTAAACCTGCAGCTGCCGACTGCGTCATAAATGTTAATCAAACAAAAGAAAAGGAGAAAATCACTCACTGCTCTTGAGTGTTTACTTGCCTTCAGTAAGCCCGAGAATGTTTTATTACTTTAGTTTATTATTTTTTGCTTTTGTATTAGTGGCAGTTTCTAGCTTCAAAGAAAGATAATTTTTCTATCTTTGCGGCAATAGTTTTTATGGGTCCAAAATCACCTTGGGTGTGCATTATTTTCCAATAATTCAATGGCCTGTCATCAATTATTCCTTAGATAACATAATAAATTGTAATTTAATGTAACTATAAATGCATTCAAAAATAAAACAGGTGTGAGTTGACTGTGACTTATGGAAAGTATATGTAGGGCTTTTATACACAGTGTGTGCCATTGCACAGACTAGGTTTATCCCTCACAGGCTCATTTTCATCCAAGAGAAAATTCAAAATGCCCCGTCTAAGGGGTCCGTGTACTTTGGCGTTCATTAATTATTATTTTTTTTAAGCCAGAAATTTAAATGCAGATTCTTCTTTAATGGTTCAAACACTGATGGATAGAATAAGCAGACACAAACTAATTTTCATTATTCAAAATTCATATTTAATTAAAAATCGTAAAAATTATATAAAGATTGTTTTTTATTGAGATAAAAGGTGCATTTTCTGCTCTTAAGGTCCCATTCACCAAGATACCTAGGCTACTCCTTTATCCCCACCCTTGAATTTATACATTTACTTTAATGATTAATAAAGTCAAATCCCACCGATTAATTTTTCACATTCTAAAACCTGTTTCACTTTGAAAAATATCACAATACATAAATCAATTCAGCCATAACTTCTGTACATGACTTTAAGTTTGCTAAGCAAAGCAGGGCACAAATTATTAATCAAAAATCAAAATGGCAAGATGCAATAGAGGTTTGCTTTTGTTACATTTGAATGGAAATTGCATTTTTAAAGTTGTAAAGGTTAAAACAATGTTAAGATATGAATAAATAATAGAGTTTCGTTGGACTCGGACTCGACTCGGACTCGGCTGCTTGGGACTCGGATTTGAGTCCAACTTGGCCCATTTTGGACTCTGACTTGTCTCGGACTCGATTGGTTAAAAACACGGACTCGACTTGGACTCGACTTAGGTGGACGCAAACCCAACACTAATATTAAGACTCAGACCAGAAGCTTTAGTTCACCGGATGTTCAAGGCTACCGATATTTGAGAAGAGTCTTCTAAAAAAAATGCCATGTCATCTGCTAATTGACTAATGATTAACTCTGTATTTCCAACAGTGATGCATTTTAGGTAGTGGTCAACCGATATGGCATTTTTAATGGCCGATGCCGATATTGAGAAATCAACCTGGCCGATATAATAACTGTAATTACGCTAAATGAGAGACATGCAGAAAATTGGCGAAATTAAATGAACATTTATTATGCATAAATATTTATTAAAACCTAAATTAAATAAATGTAAACAATTGAGGTAACAATTAGAGTGTTACGTATCCGGTCCATGAACTTCCGTCTGCTAGCCATCAGAGGTCACCCTTTCCATTTTCATTGACTCTCGCACAACACCTCCCGAGGTGGCGGCTTACTCTGCAGAACCTCCCGAGGTAGCGGTGTCCACTGCTGTGCTCCCAGAGGCCATGGTACACACTGCAGTCTCTTCAGAGGTGGCGGCGCATGCTGCAGAACCTCCCGAAATGGCGGTGCTCGCTTCAGCTCCTTGCGTGGTGGTGGCGCTCAGCAACGCACCGTCAGCCTGTTCTGTTCCGGCCAAGAAGGCCGCCTATGAACTCTATGCCTGTTCTGTTCCGGCCAAGGAGGCCATCTATGAACTCTCTGCTTGTTCTGTTCCGGCCAAGAAGGCCGCCTATGAACTCTCTGCTTGTCCTGTTCCGGTCAAGGAGGCCGCCTATGAATTCTCTGTCTGTCCTGTTCCGGCCAAGGAGACCGCCATGGTCTCCTGATCGGTGTGGTTCACCGGGAGGGTTCCCTGTTCCTTCTGCTCCGCCGTGGTGGTCTGTCTGGCTCTGGTGGTCTGCCACTCCGCCGTGGTGGTCCTCTGCTCCACCATGGTGGTCCTCTGCTCCGCCGTGGTGGTCTTCTGCTCCGCCGTGGTGGTCTTCTGCTCTGCCGTGGTGGTCTTCTGCCCCACCGTGGTGGTCTGCTGTCTGGCTCTGGTGGTTCTCTGCTCCACCTGTACTGCCGGCTCCGCCCTGGCTCTCTGCTCCGCTGGTTCTGCCTCAGTTCCAGGTCTCTCCACTTCCATGTGGACCTGGCCCTCCTCTGTTACGTATCCCGTCCATGAACTTCCGTCTGCTAGCCATCAGAGGTCACCCTTTCCATTTTCATTGACTCTCGCACTGCACCCTGTTGCATATCACCCCGGACTACATATCCCATCATTCTTTGCACTGATTGCACACAGTGCTGATTGCACACAGCTGTTTCACTGATTGCACACAGCACTGATTGCACACAGCTGTTTCATATCACTCACTCCCTAGTTAACACTCACTCTCTGCCGAGTATTGTTTAGCATTTATCGCTCACCTAGGGATAGCTACATTATGGAGCCTGCTCTATCTTTTCCCAGTATTTCTTAGTCTTGCCTGTTTTTCACGTGTTTTGATTCTCGCCTGTGTATTTCGGATTACCCCCTTCGTCTTGCCGTTTGGACTCTGTTTGCCCCTGACTGGATTATTGCTGTGTACCGGGATTATCTCTCTTTGCCTTGCCCTGTTGGATATTGTTCACCGTCGATCGACCCACGCCCGTTTACTGGACTGTTCTTACATTTTGCCCGTACTATATCTGTTCGCTGGTGTTTCGACCCTGCCTGTGTTTGTTACCACGTCTTTTAAATAAAAGCTTGCACATGGATCCACATGTCTCACGTCTTGTCAGCCCCGTAACATAGAGCAGCCTTTCCTTTTATTTTACGGAAACATCTACAATTAAAGCTGCAAGCAGCAATGAAAGGGCCCTCACACCCGGCCTCACCGCCAACCGGTGGCCATAGGAGAACAGCGAACGTTGGGCAATATGCTTTTAAAGTGGTAAACATTTGTGCCATATTTCCTGCTGCCAACAGGTGGCACTATGATTATAACTGAATATTGGCTTTTAGATCTCTTCAGGCCGTGACTCTTATCAAACATGTGAAGTTTGGTGCAGATTGAACATTGTATGTTTGAGTTAGTGTAAAGCATGACATATGCTGTTTCCAACAGGTGGCACTATGATTATAACTCTTTAGGCCAGTATTCTTACAAACATGTGATGTTTGGTGCAGATCGGACATCGCATGTTTAAGATAGTGTAAACCAAGTCATTTCCTGTTGTCAGCAGGTGGCGCTATGATTATAATAGAATATTGGCCTTCAGATGTGTTCAGGCCAGGACTCTTATCAAACATGTGAAGTTTGGGGAAGATTGGACATTTTGTGCCTGAGTTACAACAACTTCTATTCTCATGGCGAGACATCAAACTTTGTCACGGCGCCATGGACACACCCTTTAACGAAAACTCAAGATCTTCACAATTTAACATCACAAATGCCTTTAGATTAGACTGACCAAAAAATTTTGATGTCATTACATTTCTAGGAGTAGTTTGTGACAGCATAAAACATGTTGCCAGCAGGTGGCACTATGACTATAACTGAATGTGGGCATGTAGATCTGTTCAGGTCAGGAGTCTTATCAAATATGTGAAGTTTGGGGCAGATTGGACATTGTATGCCTGAGTTATAGCAACTTCCTTTTTCATGGCGAAACATCGAAATTTGTCAGGCCGCCACGGACAAAAACTCTAGATCTTCGCAATTTAACATCGCAAAGGCCTTTAGATTACACTGATCAATTTTTGTTAATCTGAATTAATCTCTAGGAGTAGTTCCTTAAAATACAATGCCTGATAATGGCAAAAATGACACAAAATTTGCAGAGATAATTAAAAATAACCGACTTCCTGTTGGCTTTCGGATTTTGCTCCAAGATACTTTTTATAGGTATTGCTGTGTTACATGTGTGTACCGATTTTCATACATGTACGTGAAACGTAGCATGAGGTGTTATCGAACCATTTTGCCACACCCACTTCTGAAACCCATATCAGGCGTAAATTTTCACCAGTTTTGATGCATGTGCAAAGTTTCATGACTTTTCAAGTATGTTTAGGCCCTCAAAAATGCTATTAATTTTGGAGAAGAAGAATAAAAATAAATATAGCTGCAAGCAGCGATAGCCCAAGCCATCAGTGCAAAAGCCACCCCGGTGGCATCAGGAAAACTGTGCCCAGCGGGCACATGCATTTACAGCAACCCTCCGGCAGTCTGGTTTTAAGGGATATGGCAATTAAAGGGTTAATTCAAACCATCAAGTCAATATATAAAACTTTAGTAACACTTTACAATAAGGTTTCAGTTATTAACATTAACTATATTAATTAACATGGACAATAATTATGTAGCATGTATTAATGTCAGTTAATATTCAAAACTTAAACATTAAAAAAATTGGTAACACTTTATAATAACTGCACACTATGAATCATTAGTTAAGCATTAGTAAACAGTCAATTCATCCTTTATAAAGCATTGTTCCAACATTAATAGGCATTAACAAGCAATTTATAAATACGGCTATAAATGTTTTGTTCTTGAGCATTTTCATACTTTATTAATGATCAATTTATCATTTCTAAATTATTACGTTATTTACAAACCAGTTATTTGGGCGTTCATAAGATCATTTAGAACGTGTAAGTAAATGATTAATAAACTATTTAAATTTACATTTATAAATCTTATTATTTAGACACATGATAATAGTTGCTCAGTGTGTTAATAAATGCTTTATTAACACATGTTTGTGCTGTAATTCATGATTAAGTCAGGTAGTTATAAAACATTTAGTAGTTGCCAGCCATCTATTTTTGTGAGCTCATCTAAAGTGAGGACGATTTATACCTTGTAAAGCACTTACAAAGGAGATTTAAAAGCTCATTAATCTTCCAAACAGAAAAGTTAAACAAACACAACACAGAGGGATACAGAACACAAAAATATTTTTTCAAGATTGAAAAAATTAAACTGTACAACTGTTGACTTGATAATTAAAAAAAAAAAAAAACTCTGCAATTTCATAGAAAAAAAATCAAGAGTACAGTTGTACAATTTCTTTTTTTTTTGCATCTTGAAATAAATATTTCTGATTTCTGTATCCCTCTGTGTTGTGTTTGTTGTTATTTTAATTAATCGCCACCGCAAAACCGTTCAAGCTATCCAAAATCCATCAGCAAATTTAAGTTCCTCAATGTTTTGGCATCATGTAGACAAAGTTTGGTGTGTATAGTATAATTCTCCTCTGATCAGTATGCATTAATTCACAGCTATATTTTTCAAAACATCCATATTCAAATCAAAATAGCCGACTTCCTGTTGGTCGTAGCAAATGACTGTAAATTAGAAAGTTGTCTGGCTTGATGAGAACAATATATGTACAAAGTTTGGTGACTGTAGCTAAAAATAACCCCCCAAGTTTTGTCAAAAGGTGGCGCTATAGAGTGCCTCGTCCACGCCCTTTTATGAGCTTTTGCCTTTAAGCATGTTATCTGCCTCAAAATCACCAGAAAAGAATATTCAAGTTTGACATGTTGCCATGGCAATATTATTTTATATATCAATATCCTCTCAACAGTTTTACATTGGCCGTGTTTTGCCATTATTCTGATGAAGTTTGAAGTAAATCAAGTAAAAATAAGATGCTGAATTCAAAGCATTTTGAAAATGACACACTTCCTGCTGCCAGTTGGTGGCGCTATAACTTTGACTCCTAATAGTCACATCTATGCGATCGGCATCATACAGCGTTCTGTATCCCTCTGTGTTGTGTTTGTTTATTTTTTTCTGTTAGGAAGATAACTGAGCCTTTAAATCTCCTTTGTAATAGATATGCCTATAAATCAAGAACAAGGCATTTATAGCTGTATTTATAAACTGCTTACTAATTACTATTAATGTTGGGACAATGCTTTAGAAAGGATGAACTGACTATTTACTAATGCTTACATAATGATTCATAGCGTGCAGTTATTATAAAGTGTTACCAAATTATGTTGTCAGTGCCTTACAAATGAACTGGTTCTATGATTTTTTTGTCCCTAAACTGACAGAAAAGGATAATGCCTAAGGGATTTCTTAAGCTGTAATGAAAAAAAAACAAGAACAACAAAAGATTATTGATTAGTTTTTTTCTGGTGATTAAAGATATGTTTAAAAGTCTCTCTCTCTCTCTCTCTCTCCCCCCCCCCCCCCCCCCCCCCCCCCCCCCCCCCCTTCCTCACACAAGAGGCAGAGTGGTAGAGTGAGATCAGATGTCTGATAGTTTTTGAATTTTCTGCTATCCATAGAGCATTGTAAAGTCATGAAACTAAGCATATTTCCTCAGAATGACTTCTCTCTATGTTAAACCTTCTAAATGTAAACCTTTTGAAGTGTTTGGAAGCTGCACTTTAATAATATAAGACAATTACTGTTCCCTTTTTTTACTGTTATTTTAATTAATCGCCACCGCAAAACCGTTCAAGCTATCCAAAATCCATCAGCAAATTTAAGTTCCTCAATGTTTTGGCATCATGTAGACAAAGTTTGGTGTGTATAGTATAATTCTCCTCTGATCAGTATGCATTAATTCACAGCTATATTTTTCAAAACATCCATATTCAAATCAAAATAGCCGACTTCCTGTTGGTCGTAGCAAATGACTGTAAATTAGAAAGTTGTCTGGCTTGATGAGAACAATATATGTACAAAGTTTGGTGACTGTAGCTAAAAATAACCCCCCAAGTTTTGTCAAAAGGTGGCGCTATAGAGTGCCTCGTCCACGCCCTTTTATGAGCTTTTGCCTTTAAGCATGTTATCTGCCTCAAAATCACCAGAAAAGAATATTCAAGTTTGACATGTTGCCATGGCAATATTATTTTATATATCAATATCCTCTCAACAGTTTTACATTGGCCGTGTTTTGCCATTATTCTGATGAAGTTTGAAGTAAATCAAGTAAAAATAAGATGCTGAATTCAAAGCATTTTGAAAATGACACACTTCCTGCTGCCAGTTGGTGGCGCTATAACTTTGACTCCTAATAGTCACATCTATGCGATCGGCATCATACAGCGAACAAACCCCTGAAGTTTGATCAAATTCAGACAATGTATGTGGATGTTATTAGACCTTTCCTGTTGCTCATTTCTCGCCATAACTTCATCGCCTCGCCACGAGCAAACCGTTTGAGATATCAAAAATCCCTTCGCAATTTAGAATCTCCAATGTCTTCAGATCATGCTCACAGAGTTTGGTGCAATCGGTTGGAAATCCTCAGACGAGTATATCAAATTCCAGAGCATGCACTTTTTAAACAGCCCTGAATAGCCAACTACCTGTTGGGTGGAGCCTATGACATGCAGTGCAAAAGTTGTTCTCAATGAGTTCTATATGTGTACAGAGTTTCATATGAATATGTGCAAGCATGTGTGAGCTATACATCAAGTTTTCAGACTGTGTTCCAGGGGGCACCGTAGAGCCCCTGTGCCACGCCCTGCTCCCAGCCTTTGCGGCTTCCTAACAGCCTCAGATTCCAATGTGTGTGCCAATTTTCAAGAGTTTTGGAGTATGTTAAGGCCCCCAAAAAGCCTTGGAAGGTTGAGAGAGAAAAAAACAAATCCTTAGAAAAACAAGAGGGCCCTGCGCCTTACTGGCTTGGGCCCTAAATACAGCTGCAAGCAGCGATGGCGGGCCCAAGCCATCAGTGTAAACGCCACCCCGGTGGCATCAGGAAAACTGTGCCCAGCGGGCACATGCATTTACAGTAACCCTCTGGCAGTCTGGTTTTAAGGGATATGGCAATTAAAGTGTTAATAAAAACCATCAAGACTGAGAAACACATACTCAGAACAATATATTAAACTTTAGTAACACTTTACAATAAGGTTTCAGTTATTAACATTAAGATGTGTAAATAGAGGTCTACACAACAAACACATGAAGATCATATGAACTGAAAGTTTACTGACATTTGTAAACATTTCAATTTACATTAAATAATCATATGTTAATTATTAGGTAATGTTTAATAAGTTCATTAGTAAACATTAACAAGAGCATTTCATGTTTCTAGCTATGTGAATATATATTAACTAATGATCTGTTAAGCATTATATAATGTTTGTTAATAAATTATAAATGAAAGTTATTATAAAGTGTTACCATCATAGGTCATACATACCACGTAATATTAGAATAAGCACCCTTTAGTTTCAGAATACTTACAGTATAAATAATTTGGAATTTTCCAGGTTGTTACCCCTTTGTTCCCCAAACTTTGCATATCATTCCCTTATACCTACATGGAGGTACTGTATAGGTACACTATAATTGCAAAAAAAAAAAACGCTGTAAATTCTGTTTACTTATGCTGTAAATTGCGAGCTGTAATCTAAAGCATTACCCAAAAAACAGTGGTGAAATATCTATTTTTATCTATTTATAATATCTTTCCAATGATATATAGTTTGTCATGATTAGATTAGGATTTAATTGTAATATAGTGAAGTAAACTTAGGCGTTTTGCCATTAAAATGCTTAACTTATTGCATCACATCCGTGAGTCAACATTTCAGAGAGTCCACTTTGCAATACTGTGACAAGTTATTTTAATCCACTAGCATATATCAACAACAAACTGTCAGGATCATGGACTGTCTGTATGATGTTTTGCGCCTGTTTCTGTTCCCTTATTTGGTCATGTTCCTGTCCTCGTTTTGTTTATTAGTTTGATTAGTCATCCCATATACCTGTGTTTCCCCAATCATCCCCTGTATTTAAGTCCTAGTCTGTGCAGTCTGTCTCTGTCGGTCCTTCTTGTTATGTTCATGTGTTTCCTGCTGTTCCCAATGTTGGATGTACCCTGTGTTTCTTGGATTAAAGACTGTTTCGTTTATTCCTCGTCTCCATCGTTCCTCGCCATCACAGATTGGAACACAAACAATACCTTGCAAGGCTCAATGTTTCCATGACAACATGACTCACAATAACTCTTTGGGCTTACCTTTGCCAGCTGGGAATGCCTCACAACAGTCCTTTCACACTGTCTCTGCTGCCAAACGGCACTCTTATTTAGCACCTTAACCATTTAAATTTTCAATGATACAACCTGCATTATCTGTTCTAAATCACAAATGGAAACAAAAGAGCCTTTGTAGGGCTTTAAACTTTTTTTTTTTTTTTTAAATACAGTCATTTCTGTGTAAAGATGAATCTGAAATGCTTATTTAAGGACTCCCATCAAGTAATGAGTGGCAGGCATTTAGAAAAGCTCTCATGATGTGTTATATTCACTCTACATACACTGGTGTGCCACCTGTGGCTAGATGCTCATTTCAGAGAGAGAGAGAAATGTAAGATTAATTATCTTAAAGCTGCAATGTTTTACTCATGCTTACATCACACTGTAATGTTACACAGTTACTGGAGAATCTTACTAACTTGAATACGTAACTCATATACTCCCGCTGTGTAATTTTGCATGGATTTTTGTACACATAAAATCTTCAAAATTAGTATAGAGATATTATAGCAATATTTGGCTGTTTAAAATTGCCATTTTTAAGATTTTGACATTTCAATTGTTTTTTAATGTTTTTATTTAATTTTAATATGTTCACTAATAAATGTTGATACTACTACTACTACTTATAATAATAATAATTATCACTCAATAATGATCACTCAAGAGGCTTTAGGACAACAGTGATGGTGTTCTAGATCTAAACATTTGGTCAACATGTGAGAAACTGTGGTCATCCAAAGCTGTGTCCCCTTTGAAGCAAGTTTTTTTTCTCTCAGTTTGTTCTTTTTTACACCTAAAATAATAATATTTGAAGAATCTTTTTGCATGCCTTTATTTATAGTACCAGATTATAAATGTAAAGGGATTCTTTATTTGTAATATTTATAGCAGTCTACACTGGTTTAGCCTCTGTGACAATGTTCTTTCTGCATTCTCTTTGCTGTCCTTACTATATGTTCTTTAGATTGTTTATCATTACACTTATGTCATGTAAGGAAATTCTAATGATTTAGCCTTAATGGTTTAGCTCCTGTGTACCTAAATAGCCTTCTACTACGGTACAATCCATCACGCTCCCTAAGGTCACAAACCTCTGGGTTTTTGGTAGTGCCTAGGATAGCAAAGTCCACTAAAGGAGGTAGAGCTTTTTTGCATTTGGCTCCCAAACTCTGGAATAGCCTTCCTGAACCCCATAAATAGCAAGATCAAGATTTGTGGTAATGTAATAATGTAATGCCATCTCAAGTGTCAAGATGGCATGGCAAGTTATCTACTATAGTACCTCAAAGAGAATGAATAACTGTTATAAGTGATGAATGATCTAGATATGTAATGTAGATAGACAGATATAAAGTGCATGTATATAGCTTCAGAGGCTCCAATTCCAGAGACAGACACATGTTGCAAGCCTTTATCATGCTTATAGACTTACAATAGAGACACCCATGGCTAGTTTGTACCCAGAAGCACAGCTGGCGTCACCTCTCAAAAACGCAGTTTTTTTCTGTAGTACGGTATGCAGTTCTAAGTATTCTGAAGAAAAAGCTTTCTGTGTTTTTGTAAATTGGCAAAACAAAATATAAACATTTGTTTCGATATACGGTACTGATGATACGGAAAGCACTCTACTGGACTGAGTTTCCCAAAAGCATGGTAAGCCTAAGTAGGTTGTAGAACCATTGCCATCAATGGTCTCGATGATTAACTTAGTTCCCAGTGCTTTTGAGAAATGCAGCCCTTGCCTACTGTTGCTATGGTTACCTCAGACAGACTTCTGTACACAAAAGTCTGTTTAATGTGCTCTGACAAGCTTGAAATTTAACTTTCTGTTAGGTGTTGAAAACTCAGTTGAAATGTATACTTATATGTTAATGTAATAGGGATATATACATTTGAGCACCCACTCCAGAAAGTTATCTCGGATCGGGAACTGTAGCATAGGTTTCCAGAAGACGTTGCGACATTTGTCTTGTTGAAAGTATATTCATACGAAAGTGTACTCAAGCGCAACCACAAGATTATTCTTCTAGAATTTTCAAGTATTTTACAGGATTTCTACAAAATGGCCTCACACAGTCACTGCCCTTATGCGCATGAGCTAAGAACAAAGCAGTACAGAGTGTGATAGAGTCTCTGGGCTCTACCAACACGAGCGTTGGGATGCACGGGACTGAGTGCCTCTATCACGATGCACACTAGATGGGATTTTTTCCTATTATAACAGTGCAATATATATTCATTAGAAAGTTTTTTTTTTACGAATCTGGAGGGAAATGTGCAGGCGGCATTATGGTTCAGCACTCTGGACAGCGCACCCGAGTGCCTGCTGCTACTTATTACTGCAGTAATTTTATCTGCGTGTTTAACAGATGAAGAATCATGCAGTTGATAACTTATTCACCACAATTAGGGGCAAATACATCGCAAGGGGACTTCTGAAGTGAGAAATGGACTTTGCGGAAATTCTGTTTGCTTTGTTCATCGTTGTGATTGTGATTGTTTCTTTGCTGTCGAACTTACTGGTGTTGCTATGTTTCATTCACAGCAGCGAAATACGACGCCAGGTGCCAGGGGTGTTTACCATGAACTTGTCGTTTTGCAACATACTAATTTCTGTCCTAAACATGCCGTCCACTTTAGTTGGGATTGTAAAGCACCAGCAGCCTTTTGGGGACTGCCTCTGTCGCACGCTCAGCTTTCTGGAGACCTTTCTGACAGCCAACAGCATGCTGACCATGGCAGCACTCAGTATAGACCGCTGGATCGCCGTGGTTTTCCCGCTGAGTTACTCCAGTAGAATGCGCTACAGGGACGCACTGGCCATGGTGTGTTATTCGTGGCTCCACTCGTTCACATTCTCCCTTATTCCACTGCTTTTCTCCTGGTTTGACTATAGTCCCATTTACGAATCCTGCACGTTGCATTTGAGCAAGGAGAGCGCACAGATTAAGTTTACTGTGTTCACCATTGTCTTTCATTCCACCAGCTTCATGCTCTCGCTCGTAATTTTGTGCGTCACATACTTAAAGGTTTTAAAAGTTGCACGCTTTCACTGCAAGAGGATTGACATTATAACCATGCAGACCCTCTTCTTACTGGTAGAAATTCATCCAAGGTATTTATGATCTTTTTTTCAGTAAGCATAATAGGGATGTTTGTGCAAAATTTCCCATTGTAACATAAGTGCCATTAACATTTTGTAAAACTCCTTTGTAGTGTTAAGCAGCGCTGTATTGCTGAACAAAAGAGGAGGAAACAGCGCGCTACTAAGAAGATTAGCATTTTCATCGGCTCTTTCATCATCTGTTTCGCCCCTTATGTCATCACAAGGTATGTAGCCAAAGGTTTTAAGCTTAACATTTTACGAACCATTTGGTATAAACACTATGGAATAATCTGGGAGGAATTGTTTATCATAAAACATGAGACACAGATCTAAAGATATTAGTAAGGCTAATGTGGGACGCAACGAAGCGGTTTGAAACATTGAATAACGTTTATCTGAACAATGAACGAATGTTTCGCTACTGAAAAGTAAAAGTGTGCCTCGAAATGACATTTAATTGAGTCGTGATACAAGAAAAACAAGACAAGAAAAAAAGTCTAAGAATTCTCACCCGGTTTATTTACATTCTTAACTTCTTTTCCCTTCAAATGAAATTGTGACGTATTAAGTCATATAATTATTTTATGCAGCAATCGTTCGATATTGCCTTCTTGATATAGTCGGACCATTCTTATTTTCAAGAGACTGATAACAAATAAGCAGAATTGATTTTTGATAGATTTAGGTATACTTTTTGAAACGGTATAAACGAAATGATCATTACACTACTACAATAAAGGCATTATTTTTATTATTGGTTATTTTATATAATTTTATATATAGGTCTATAATATATCTATATTTCATATTGTAATAATAACAAATGCATATAATAATTATGCCATTTATGCTAGATTGTTGTGTATTTTGTCACAACATTGTCAATTATCAAGCTACACAATTTCTCACTTAAGAATGAATAGTTGTTATTTAAAAAGTTGAATAATTATTCCAACAACACATTAAATGTTACTTTCAATGGCTCAATAATAGTGCTGTTTATCAGAAGATTCTTTGAAAGAGTTGTCTTATCTAAGTGATTAATGCCTAATATTAAGTATAGGGTAAGATGGGGGAGATTTACTTTTAAATTGTAACAAGTTTAGCATGTCAAAGGTGATGATGATGCATCAGCCAATGTGGTATTATAGGAAATAAATAGAAACATTTGGTAATTTAGTTATGACACAAAATTTAAAATATTAAGGTAATGTATCACTTAATCATTTTATTATTGAATTTAATCATATAATAATCTATAATAATTTAAACAATTTTTGTACTCATTTAATTGATTAATTCATTGATTAGTAATTTGCAATAAATTATTTTATATTATTTTTTCCATTTTTGTTTAGTCTTATGATTGTGTTTTTTCAGTGGATATTTGTCTTCATGAGTAAGATATAACAATGTCTCCATTTCAAGATTTTTAACGTTACAGGACGATTGTGAAGCAGTAATTTTTCATTGCTATTCCTTGCGGTTGTCACGGTACGCTGTTGGAAGGAGTACGAGGGAAACGAGAAGTACAATCAAAAGTCTTTAATCCAAGGAATACAGGGTACAGCCACACAAAGGGCGCTGGAGCAAACACACGTACACAACGAGTAGACCCGAGAGAGACTGCACAGACTGGGACTTAAATACAGGGGATGATTGGGGAAACACAGGTGCATGGGATGACTAATCAAACTAATTAACAAAACGAGAACAGGAACATGACCAAATAAGGGAACAGAAAAAGGGGCAAAACATGACACAGAGAGTCCATGATCCTGACCGTGGTATAATAACACTTGTTGGATTTGTGCTGGTCAGAAAAAAGTCTGAGCATTGATGCACACTCAACTAAGATTATTCAATAACCTCTGCTTATTTTTTTATCATTCACTTTGTCCCCTCCTTCTGCTCTTATCTGGCTTTACTCTGTCAGTTTCTTGGCTGATAGAAGACTGTTAATATATGGCGTTATTTTTATGACAAATGTCGAGAGGGCTTTATTGTAGCGCGAAAGCACATTAATATAATGTGCGAGCGCGAATCTCTCCGCTCGCACGCGGATTTCCTTTGCTCTCGCACAAACCGGACGCGCGCGCTCAGATACACGCTGCTCTTGCCCTGAGAGTATGCACATTAAAACGTGTCTCTCCTCTCACTCAAACTGTCATGTGCACTGGCAAATCTCTCTGTGCTCATGCCCTAGATATGAATTATTTTCGTACCTGAATTAAACGTTGTCAAAAGTTATCATTATGCACTTTTAAAAAGTATCTCAAAACAGATTTGTTCCTTGATTTTTTTATTGTTGTATTTTAGTTTTAACATAAACTGGTTATTGTACTTTGTTTTACTGCTTTATCTCTTTCATGTTTGTATTTGTATTTTCTTTTCTGTGAATGCACATATGCATGTCTCTGTAAAATAATTTGTAAACACTTTTAAAAGGCGCTATATAAATAAAGCTTTAAACAATCAGACCTCCACAACTGACCTATGAAAATACTATGTGAAATCTAATTGGCTGAGAGAGAACTGAACCTGGAATACTTTTGACAATCAAAGATGGATCTTTAATTTATTTCCTGTTTTATAATATTTAGCAATGTTAATTATATTAGAAATATCTAGGAATTGGGTGCTTTGATGATTTGTACATATAAATAACCTCCCAGTAAGCAATTTTGCGTTTAAAAGACATCTATTAGACGTCTAAATATAGCTTAGACGTCTAGGCTAAAATGAGGCTAAATTTGGGCTGTCAGTGAAAATCTAATAGACGTCTATTCATAGCCCAAGAATAGACTAGCCAAAATGGCAATCCATACATACAGCTTTTATTAAGAAAAATAATTTTTTAACAACTTGGACAACCTAAGACAATACAAAATGATAAAAATACAAAATAATTAATGACAAAATAAAATGTTATAAATACAATACACTTAAATATAAATATTATGATAACAAATCTGGAGTTTTTAACAACTTAAGATAATAAAAATATAAAAATGAAATATTTAAAATAACTTAAGATATTTAAAAGAAAAAAAATCTAATACAAATCAAGAGCATGTTATCACACTTAACATTAATACATTACGGATAAATGACAACATAAAAAAAAGATGAACCCTTTTGTTGGTTTACTTTTAACAAATAAAACAACCAACCTTAAAGGAAATGATTAATTATTGGTTTTATTTCTTGTTTAAACTGCCTCTCAACTGCATTCCTCAAGTCAAACTCTGTTGCTGCAGGGAAGTTGGTCATCACAGCATCTGCCATATAAGAAAAAAAAGCACAAGAAAATCTTGACATAATGTTTTACTTTAATTACACAAATTGTGACAGGGAGTCATGCTCTTTTGCTTGGATGCCAACTAAAAACAAAAACAAGATATATAGTTTATCACCATTCAGTGTGTTAAAAAAGAGAGAAGCTCTCTGGTAAATGTTGTGTGTTTTATACACATACCTCTAATGACCGAGAACAGTGCAGTCTTTTCAAATGCCTCTTTCTGCAGCGGACCACCCCCCATAATGTTGAATTTGGACATGAGGGATTTTTTTAAAACCAAAATATAATACAGATTGAGGTGGTTAACAATTGCAGACAATATTTGACATTTCAAAATGACCAGTAAAGGAATTATTTTTTTAATTTCTGATTTGCGTTGTAACTTATTGAGTATTGACACCACAATGTTTGATTAATGTGGCAAGATTTGAAGGCTTTACCTGTCCAGCATCCTTCTGGCACTGTCTTTGAGGTTTCTTCCTTCAATTCTGCACAACTTTGACATCTGAATAACACATGCCAATGTCAGGTGGGTAGTATTATATGTATCCGTGTACTTTACCAAGTGTAAGTGTTTACCAACCTGAAACATTGATGCCCATTGACCTGCAAGTTTTCCATCACTAACCCTTTAAAACTCTTTATTCAAGCAGTTTAAGTTTTTCCCTATTAGTGCCCCCCACAATCTGTCTCTGCCTCCAAAATTATCTGGCACAACTGACTTCATAACAACACAGTGATAGCTGCTGTAACTAAAAAGTAGCCCAGTACACACATTAACCTCAAATGTACATGGAATAATACATGCACCCCCTACCGTTTTATTTCATTATGTTTTCTGTTTGTACTGTTTAGGTTTCAATGCTGCATTGCACATCTGAGCTATTTGCACTTATTATTGGTATTCTTAAGCTTTACTATCAATTTGGAAGTTTCAAAATAAATCTTATTGTAACGTTACTTGTACAATGACAAAGATATTCAGTTCAATTAGCTCATGCTCTCTCTGTATCTAACAAGCCATTGTTCAGTAATAAATGCAATATAATAATTAAAATAAATGATGGACTTTGTCAAAGATGAGAGCTTTAGTGAGGAAATGTTGTTTTGGAGTGTTTTTTTTTTACCATTGCTGCCCGAATCTTTTCCAGATGTTGAAACTCCTCCTCAGTTTCTCCAATTCTTCTGAGTGTGTTCACTGTATAAATTCATATGGATTAATCTTTGTCAAAGCTGTGTTTGTTCTGTTGTTTGCTCTTTCACCTCTTCTTGCGCTGTTTTAAAATCGATTTTAATCAATGCGGTTTGTAAACACATACAAATTATAAAACTTTTAGTCTATTAAATTTTGCAATTAATCCTCTGAACACATGCGTGTTGAACCGTGGGCTAGTCATGGGTCACTATCAACTACGATCTGCTCCCTTTACTAAAATGTCACGGTTCCTAAACATGATAACAAATAATATAGATAAATAATGAACACGTCAAAACGAAAACTCAGATACTTACAATACCATGTAGGAATGTCCTTTATCATTTGTTGTTTGCCCGCTGCTCTCCAACAAGTAATGTCTCAGGTTACTTATGTAACCATGGTTCCCTGAGTAGAGAACGAGACATTGCGTCCTCTTGGGGTCGCTATGGGGAACGCCTCGTCGTGACCCGTGTCTGAAGCATACATTGAAAAAACCCCAACGCGTTGGCCGGCGACAGCCATGACATCACTACCGGCACAACTATAGTATAAATAGGCGCCGAGAGCACACATCATTCAGTTCTTCGTCTAAAGCTTGCGTCCGCAGCATGGCAAGAAAGCTAGAGGACGCAGTGTCTCTTTCCCTACTCAGGTAACCATGGTTACATAAGTAACCTGAGACGTTCCCTTTCATGGGAACTTCGAACTGCGTCCTCTAGGGCTCA